CCTTGTTATGTATGTTTTTATGTATATAATAATATAGGATGCAAAGAGGACGTGACTCAAAGACCAGTTGCTAGTTGGGACTGCCTTTATTGTTGATTCAGCCTACCCGACATTTACTTTATAATATATTTTATAATAATGCATAATTACCTACAATCCCCTTTTTTTTTATTAAAAAAAAAGTAAACATGCATTTAGTAATAAGAATAGCATTTAAAATACTATAATAATCTTCAACATAATAATATTTTATCACTGTACATAGTTCTAGCAGACTTCATCCATTTATTTGAAACATATATTTCATTATTACATTAAATTTATATAATAGAATTAAAATTATCTTAATTACCTAGAAATGAATTTATATAAATGGCTATATAAAACTATCAGCAATTATATATAAAATTATTATTTTAAGTATTAAGAACATTAATTTTCGCAACTAAGATAATTAGGTATATATAATAAGTTCAACGTATTATTGGAAAGACTAAAACTATTGATTCAGTAATTCCATACAAATGGTAGCAGCAGTAGCAGTAAGAAATTTATTGTAGCAGTAAACTATTACTTCTTATAAATATTTATTTTTATAATTATGTAAGTACGATTTTATACACTTAGTTTTTTATTACAATTACAATTATACAATTTTATACAAACTATAATTATTACAACAAAATTAATATACCTATATAATTTTTTTTTATTTTATTTTTAAAATGGTGCCTATGGGCTTTTTAGTGGTGCGCCAGGTGTGGAATATCCCCAGCGATCAGGAGCTCTCACTTCCCTGCCATAACGGGTGCAATAATTAGTAATAGAGCGACTATTCGAATTCAGTTGGTGCATTGGTGCACCGGAGCTGTGTGTATCATAGCGACTGCTACCTGTATTGACATGAATGTCGCCATATTGTATACTAGCTGTACCCGCGACTTCGTCCGCGTAAATAATGAAAAAATATTTAACACAATTAACACAATATAAGTCAAATAAATAAGTTTCATCATTTTAGCTTAAAAAATGATAAAAAATAAAAATAAATATTTAATCAATAGGCTAAAAAATAAATTTCAAGCTTCTAGCTTTAAACATGACGATACATCTATATGACCTTGGATCTACCCTTTCAATCCTCTTGTAACCCTTTTTCACATTAAAAAGTAACCTATGTCCTTTCTCAGGATCTAGTCTATCTATATCTGTTTCAAATTTCAATTTAAATCGGTTCAGTATTTTTGGCGTGTAAGCGAGACAAACAGACAAAGTTACTTTCAAATTTATAATATCAGTATGGTATTTAATAAACTAACTCCAAAAAGACAAAGAAAAAAGTTTAATCGTTCTAGCTTCCACAACCACACAAACAGCAAATTTTCACAATAACTTTCCTTCCCTATTTTATATTACTAAGAGTAAAAATTTTACAAACATTGAATGTCATATTTATTGATATTTAAACAACAGCCTAAAAATGAGTCTCAAACTTCTAGTTTTAAAAAATGACGATTCTTCCATACAGCGTACCATTGCAACCCCCTTACAATCCTTTTTTCACATTCAAAAGTACCCTATAATATTCTTTGTCCGGGTGTAAACTAACTGTGTACCAAATTTCATTTAAATTTTTGTTTTGTTTTGGAGCGTAAGACTGACAGAAAAACAAACAGAGTTACTTTCACAGTTATAACATTAGTGGGGTATTTAAAAATCTACCCCAAAAGAACCAATGAAAATAGTTTCATCGTTCTAGTTTCAAAAATTACGAATTTACATAATAACTATCATCCCCTATTTTATTTTACCCCCTTAAGGGTATTTTTTTTACAAACAATGAATGTCATATTTATTTATATTTAATCAACAGCCTCAAAAATAAGTTTCAAGCTTCTAGCTTCAAAAATGACGATTTTACATAAAAACTTGTATCCCCTATTTTATTTTGCCCCTTTAAGGGTAATTTTTTTACAAACAATGAATGTCATATTTATTTATATTTAATCAACAGCCTCAAAAATAAGTTTCAAGCCTCTAGCTTAAAAAATGACGATTTTACATAAAAACTTGCATCCCCTATTTTATTTTACCCCCTTAAGGGTATTTTTTTTATAAACAATGAATGTCATATGTATTTATATTTAATCAACAGTCTCAACAATAAGATTCAAGCTTCTAGCTTCAAAAATGACGTGTTTACATAAAAACTTGCATCCCCTATTTTACTTTACCCCCTTAAGGGTAATTTTTTACAAACATTGAATGTCATTTTTATTTATATTTAATCAACAGCCTCAAAAATAAGTTTCAAGCTTCTAGCTTCAAAAATGACGATTTTACATAAAAACTTGCATCCCCTATTTTACTTTACCCCCTTAAGGGTAATTTTTTACAAACATTGAATGTCATTTTTATTTATATTTAATCAACAGCCTCAAAAATAAGTTTCAAGCCTCTAGCTTAAATAATGACGATTTTACATAAAAACTTGCATCCCCTATTTTATTTTACCCCCTTAAGGGTAATTTTTTACAAACATTGAATGTCATTTTTAGTTATATATTATCAACAGCCTCAAAAATAAGTTTCAAGCTTCTAGCTTCAAAAATGACGTGTTTACATAAAAACTTGCATCCCCTATTTTACTTTACCCCCTTAAGGGAAATTTTTTACAAACATTGAATGTCATTTTTATTTATATTTAATCAACAGCCTCAAAAATAAGTTTCAAGCTTCTAGCTTCAAAAATGACGAATTTACATAAAAACTTGCATCCCCTATTTTACTTTACCCCCTTAAGGGTAATTTTTTACAAACATTGAATGTCATTTTTATTTATATTTAATCAACAGTCTCAACAATAAGTTTCAAGCTTCTAGCTTCAACACTGACGTGTTTACATAAAAACTTGCATCCCCTATTTTATTTTACCCCCTTAAGGGGATTTTTTTTACAAACAATGAATGTCATATGTATTTATATTTAATCAACAGTCTTAACAATAAGTTTAAGCTTATAGCTTCAAAAATGACGAATTTACACAAAAACTTGCACCCCCTATTTTACTTTACTCCCTTAACGGTAATTTTTTACAAACATCGAATGTCATTTTTATTTATATTTAATCAACAGCCTCAAAAATAAGTTTCAAGCCTCTAGCTTACAAAATGACGATTTTACCTAAAAACTTGCATCCCTATTTTATTTTACCCCCTTAAGGGTAATTTTTTTACAAACAATGTATGTCATATTCGTATGTATTTATATTTAATCAACAGTCTCAACAATAAGTTTCAAGCTTCTAGCTTCAAAAATGACGTGTTTACATAAAAACTTGCATCCCCTATTTTATTTTACCCCCTTAAGGGTAATTTTTTTACAAACAATGAATGTCATATGTATTTATATTTAATCAACAGTCTCAACAATAAGTTTCAAGCTTCTAGCTTCAAAAATAACGAATTTACATAAAAACTTGCATCCCTTATTTTATTTTACCCCCTTAAGGGTAATTTTTTACAAACATTGAATGTCATTTTTATTTATATTTAATCAACAGCCTCAAAAATAAGTTTCAAGCTTCTAGCTTCAAAAATGACGATTCTTCCATACAATCTTTCATCCCCCCTTTTAACCCCTTACAACCCTTTTTTCGCATTAAAAAGTAGCCTATGTCCGTTCTCAGGGTCTAGACTATCTGTATACCAAATTTCATTCAAATCGGTTCAGTAGTTTTGGCGTGAAAGCGAGACAGACAGACAGAGTTACTTTCGCATTTATAATATTAGTTTTTGTCGCAGCACAAAAATATATTTATATCGTTTTCGTACAAAGTAATTTTACAGTATTAATCTACAAACCAACATTTTGTTTCTTACAATCAGTTAAATAATTTAAATAGTTTCATAATATATGACACGATGAAAAAGTCATTTATTTTATAAAAAAGGCAGTTAGTTTTTATTTTAGTGAAAAATAAGAAAATTATATTTTGATACAACAACCATATATTTATTAATACCTATACTTTATTATTTTTGTGTTAATGCTTTTTAAATAAACACCCACACATTATTTCTGTATAACCTACAAAAATGGGTTAAAGAATTTAATTTCGGATAGTGCCACACCACAACACTCTTTAAAAAATGTAAATAATAAAATGTGAAGAAATTGTGATTGTTATTAAGTTTTTTTTAATAAGTTCGTCAGAACAGAGAAACAACATTTGACATTTATTATTATTTGACATTTGATATTGACTTTAATTTTTGTAATTTATATTGTAAAACTTTAAGTTGGGCTAAAAAGGACTTGTATACAGAGCCGTAAAACAAATTAATAAAAAAAATCTCCAAATTTGTCTCGCAATCGGCCAATTTCAGGTTTAAAGAAAAACACATACACACGATATATGATTTTATCATAAAAAAGTGTCAAAAACAATATTTTCGCTAAACGTCAACGTCATATTTTCGGCAAGATCTTTCGTTTTACATTATGTTATCTGTGGGTTTGTTCTCTGTGATGGATACTGTCTACGCATTCAACGCACCGCTCCGCGGGCTGCGGGGGCGGTGCTGCGCATCGGCAACTGCGGCCGGTGGCGGACACCGGCACTTCTTGTCCGACCGGCATCGACACTTACCGGCTTACAAATAATCCCTCCATTCTAAATTTTATCTGAATCTGTCCGTTGTTCATAACAGTTTTTATATTAAACCTATTAATACAGTCCACTAGTTTCACTGGCTATCCAGGACGTAACATTGGTCCTTTAGGAAATAAACTCGCCATACCTACGAACATCTAGAAGACCGTTATTGAAATCAAGACACGATATTGGTGAACTTTAACCTGGAGGAGCTTAAAACAAATCGGGACTTAGTTGCTGTCTTCGGTGGATTGGAAGTCATTCTGTGGATAAGGATAAGGATATTTCGTGAGTCGTTCCAATTATTCCTTATTAATTCCTTCTATATCCATAAATATTTCTTATAGCACTAGCTTTCATTTCTTTGAATCATAATCATTTTCATCTTTTATTTAAGTGTTACATGTTTATATTACTCATTTCGCATTAGATTCACATCTTTGTAGTAACTATCGCTTGCATAGTTAAAAGTACCTAGTTGCGCATCGGCGACCGTCCAAAGGTCAGTCGCTGCGAACAAAAGGCGGACCGTATTTCTTGGAATTTGCATAGAAACTATTTTACTATCGCTTATTGCGCATATTTGTATTTATTTCTTTTCAATTCGCACTGTCGCAATTTGTTACGTATTAATTTAATTTTAAATTTAGTTGATTACTTTCTCTTTCTTGCAATAATGGCTGATGAGTTTAAATTGATTAAAAAACGTAGCAGCTTGAAAGCTAAGCTTACTACATTTACCAATTATTTGGACATAGTTAGCAGTTGCCAATCATTGTCGGAACTACAGCGCTTAGAGTTACAAAGCCGATTTGCTAAAATTGATGCCTTATACGAGGACTTTGATAATTTGCAGACAGAAATTGAGTCATTAGATACATCGGTGGCTAAGGTCGAGGAGACCTACGTTGCTCGCCAACAGTTTGAGGACTTGTACCATCCGCTAGTGGCGCGGGCGCGTAGTTTACTGGCCAGCGTTGCGCCTAGCGAACAGATCTTCGAATGTGCAGTTTCAGGCGGCGCAGCATCGATGCAAGGTGGGAATGGTTCTCGTAATTTTGTCAGACTTCCCAAGGTGGCCCTTCCTGAATACCATGGCAGCTATTAGTTTTGGCTTGAGTATAGGGACACCTACATATCCTTAATACATAAAAACACAGACATAGATCCCATAAATAAATTCCACTATTTACGCGCCTCCCTTAAAGGGAGTGCGGCAGAGATAATTAAAAATTTAGATTTCACAAGTGACAACTATCAGGTAGCTTGGGATTCGTTATGCGAACGCTATAACAATAACCGTCTACTTATTAATAATCACGTGCAAGCTTTATTTAATGCCACACCCATACAAAAAGAATCATGTAGTTCGTTACGACAATTAATAGATTTAATAAATATAAATTTAAGGGCGCTTAAAACATTAAATGAGCCTACTGACAGCTGGGATACATTACTTGTTTACATGATGTCTAACAAATTAGATCCTGTAACTAGCCGTGGCTGGGAAGAATTTAGAAATTCTTTATCCCAATCACCCTCATTGTCCGAGTTTTGTACATATATAAGCAATAAAGCAGATTTACTTGAAACATTAGAGGAAAAATCAAACTCAAAATTAACAAAACAAGAGCATTTTAAACCTAAAAGTTTTATTATAAATAAAAATTACAGTAATGCAAATACAAACTTAATTATCAAAAAATGTCCTATGTGTTCTCTAGATCATTTGTTATATACCTGTGAAACATTCAGGAATTTGCCTATTGAAACACGCATTAAAAAGGCAAAAGAATTCAAAGTTTGTATGAATTGTTTACGTTCTGGTCACATAGAAAAAAGGTGTAGATTATCTAGTTGCAAATATTGTAAAAGTAAACACAACACGCTTTTACACTTAGACCAGTCAATACCTTTGCCTCAAATTCCTATGCCTTCAACATCTAACAACGTTGCCTTGTCTGCCGATGCTATACAGCCTGCTACTTCTTCGCACATATTACTGTCCACAGCTTTGGTGAGAGTGGTGAGCAACAGCGGCGAGCGGCACGACGCCCGTGTTCTTTTGGACAACGGTAGTACAGCCAACTTCGTCACTCACAGTCTATGTAACAAGCTGGGTATGTCGCGGCGTAGTACGAGCTCCACGGTGACAGGTATCAACAGTCAGACCACTAATAGTACACAGTCTTGTAACCTCGAAATCGAATCTTATTGCAGTGACTATAAGGTCAATATTAATTGTCTTATTTTGCCGGAAATCACTAAAGTGCTACCATCTTCAGTAATAGATATTTCTCATATTCCTATCCCCGCAGGGTTACATCTAGCTGACCCTACTTTCAATATTCCGTCAGCCATAGACATCCTTGTGGGGGCTGAAATATTTTGGAACATAATTGGTAGTAGCAATATCGATTTAGGTAAAAATAAACCAAAATTGTACGAAACAAAATTAGGATGGATTGTGTCTGGCCCCGTGACTCTTTATACCAATTCATTTAGTTCACACTTTTGTCATTTTACGAAAGACATTAGTGATCCTAACCTAGACCGTTTCTGGAAACTCGATTCTGTTTCACCGAAGCATTCGTTGTCATCAGAAGAACGCGCTTGTGAACAGAATTTCATCTTAACTACGACTCGTAACGCAGACGGTCGCTTCGTCGTCACAATGCCACTAAAAGCTGACCCTAAGGTGTTAGGTAATTCATTCGATATAGCCAAAAATCGATTTTTATCGCTAGAAAGGCGTTTTCAGCGAGATCCCGTATATAAGGATAGATATATGCAATTTATGTCCGAGTATGAATCTTTAGGTCATATGACTGAGGATAAAGAATTTAACTATAATTCAAAAAACACCGTGAATTATTTTATACCTCACCATGGTGTCATCCGCGAGTCGAGCACCACTACTAAATTAAGGACTGTATTTGACGCGTCTGCCGTTTCCACTTCAGGAGTGTCATTAAACGATATTCAAATGGTCGGTCCGACCGTCCAAGACGTTCTTTACAGCGTATTATATTTCGTAAAAATCCTACGGAACCTCTTAAATATTATACATTAAATACTGTGACGTATGGCACCGCGTCTGCGCCATATTTAGCGACAAAATGTTTAGTTAGTTTGGCAGACGGCGCGAGCGATGAGAATGTAAGGATGTCCATACAACGCGATTTCTATGTGGATGACTACCTAAGCGGTAGTCATACTATTCCCGATACCGTAAAGCTTTGCAAAAAGGTAATTTCTATTATGTCTTCTGCACACTTTAATTTACGGAAATGGCAGTCTAACAGCCCTGAGATTTTATCCGAACTCGCAGGTAATTCAAATAATTTAATTGATACCTTAGATCTCTCAAATAATAGTCACGCGTCATCTAAAACCCTGGGTTTACACTGGTTGTGTGATACAGATACCCTATCGTTCTCCATTAATATTGATACAAATAAATTAATCACAAAGCGTCATATCCTATCTGTCATCAGTCAAATTTTCGATCCACTGGGCCTTGTTGGTCCCTGTATTGTGGAAGCAAAAATAATACTGCAGAAATTATGGATTAATAAATACGGTTGGGACGATAAGGTATCACAAGACATTGTAGATCTGTGGTCATCATTTTCTAGCACTCTAAATTATCTTAATGATATGAGAATATCACGATGGATTTCATGTGACAATTCAATTTCATATGAAATTCATGTGTTTACGGATGCATCCACTAAAGCTTATGGTGCAGCTCTATACGTTCGTTCCATAGACAACAAAGGTTCAGTGAATGTGCAATTATTAGTCTCTAAAAACCGCGTAGCACCTATCAAACCCACAACGGTTCCTCGTCTCGAGTTATGTGGTGCGCTATTAGGTACAAGACTATGTACTAAGGTTCTGGACTCTCTTACTGTACCTATTTCTCGATGTCAATTCTGGTGTGACTCCACGATCGTTTTGGGGTGGCTGTCTACCCCACCGAATCAGCTTAAACATTTTGTCAGAAATCGTGTTAACGAAATACAAGAGGCAACCGCTAAATACTCGTACCGTCGAGAGACAACCCAGCAGATCTTGTGTCCCGTGGTATTAAAGCAAATCTTATTATCGACTCCACTTTATGGTGGTCAGGCCCGTCCTTTCTCTCCAACGACTCTAGTCACTGGCCGAAAATGCCTAACGATAACATAGACCAAGATTTACCGGAAGTTTTATCTCATTTTATTGACAATTCAAATAATTATACACATAAATGTTATTCTGTTATACATGACTTAACTATTAAATATTCAAATTTTAACTATTTACAACGAATCGTAGCCTATTTACAAAGATATATATACAATTTAAAAAATAAAAATAACAAAAGATATGGATATTTATCTATTGAAGAACTACAAGCTTCATTAACTTGTATAATTCGTAGTGCTCAACTCGATATATTTCCTGTAGAGATTGAAATCATTAAGTCAGGACAAACACCGCCACGTAAAAATAAATTAACTTCATTGTCTCCGTTTTTAGATGGCAACGACATTATTCGTGTAGGTGGCAGGCTTGACAATTCCCCATATGAATACAACATTAAACATCCCATACTCTTATGTAGTAAACACCATCTCACTAGGGCTCTATTTGACATGTATCACAGACGTCTTCTACATGCCGGCCCACAATTGCTTTTAGCAAATATACGGCAAAATTACTGGCCTTTAGGAGGCAGAAACTTGTCTAAAAGTGTCGTTAGCAAGTGTATTACATGTTTCAGATATAAAGCACAAAACCTACAGCCTATTATGGGACAGCTGCCTACAGAAAGGACACTACTAGAATTCCCTTTTTATAACACTAGTGTAGATTATGCCGGGCCCATATTGATAGCGAGCCGTAAAGGGAGAGGGTGTCAATTAATAAAATCCTACATCAGCATCTTTGTTTGTCAAGCAGTGAAAGCTGTTCATCTGGAGCTGGTTACAGACCTCACGAAAGAATCATATATGGCAGCTCTAAACCGTTTCGTATCTCGTAGAGGTAAACCGCGCAATATCTTATCTGACAACGGTACCAATTTTGTCGGTACTAGTAATGAGTTACAAAGATTTTTACATAGTTCAAATGTCGCTTCAGATATGGTTCAAGAAGGTATACAATTTTCCTTTGCTCCGCCATACTCGCCTCATTTCAATGGTCTGGCTGAAGCAGTTGTTCGTTCTACGAAACATCATCTAAAAAGGTTACTTAAACTTACTCATCTTACATATTAGGAAATGTCTACATGTCTCACTCAAATAGAGGCAATACTCAATTCCCGTCCTCTTACGCCGCTATCCTCTGACCCTTGTGATTACTCTGCCCTTACTCCTGCTCACCTACTAATTGGACGACCACTTACATCTATTCCGCATCCACAGGTGGCCGACGTCAACATCACTAGATTGGACCGCTATCACAGAATAGAACATATTAAGCAGCACTTCTGGCGTCGTTTTAATATAGAATATGTTTCTATGCTGCAGCAGAAAACAAAGTGGTCCACTTCCTCAGGCAACTTGGTGCTGGGGACTCTGGTCCTTATTAAGGACAAACTGCTGCCACCTCTTCTATGGTCGCTGGGTCGTGTCGTCCAGGTCTACCCAGGCAGCGACGGTGTCACGAGGGTCGTCGAGGTGAAAACCAAGAACGGGACTATTCGTCGCGCCTTCAACAACGTGTGCCCACTTCCACTTCATTGAAGACTACTCTTCAACCCGGGCAGTATGTCTACGCACTCAACGCACCGCTCCGCGGGCTGCGGGGGCGGTGCTGCGCATCGGCAACTGCGGCCGGTGGCGGACACCGGCACTTCTTGTCCGACCGGCATCGACACTTACCGGCTTACAAATAATCCCTCCATTCTAAATTTTATCTGAATCTGTCCGTTGTTCATAACAGTTTTTATATTAAACCTATTAATACAGTCCACTAGTTTCACTGGCTATCCAGGACGTAACAGATACCTTATTGGCGCAAACGCACGCGATGTGTTGATTGGTTGTTAGCTAGTGAAATGAAAAGATGGCGAATGGCGCAAACGCACGCGATGTGTTGATTGGTTGTTAGCTAGTGAAATGTAAAGATGCCGAATAAGTATTCAACCGCATAAAGATAACCTTGTATTTCCATTTTGAACCCCTTACAACCCTTTTTACGCATTAAAAAGTAGCCTATGTCCTTCCTCGGCGGCTAGACTATCTGCTTACTAAATTGCATTTAAATCGGTTCAGTAGTTTTGGCGTGAAAGCGAGACAGACAGAAAGACAGAGTTACTTTCGCATTTATAATTAATTTTTTTTTTATTTTATTTTTAAAATGGTGCCTATGGGCTTTTTAGTGGTGCGCCAGGTGTGGAATATCCCCAGCGATCAGGAGCTCTCACTTCCCTGTCATAACGGGTGCAATAATTAGTAATAGAGCGACTATTCGAATTCAGTTGGTGCATTGGTGCACCGGAGCTGTGTGTATCATAGCGACTGCTACCTGTATTGACATGAATGTCGCCATATTGTATACTACGGCTATCGTGTTCTATGTTCCACGATCGGTTGGACCCATCTGGTATAATGTGCCTTCTATTACGTCTTAATAAAAGACCGTTGTACATTTTAATCATGTAAGATCGTGGATCTACTATATCGTTTATTATTCCCGATTTCCATATATTATTTATTCTTACTTTAACAGCATCACCTATTTTCAATGATTTTAGGGTTTTGGATCCTTTATCATAATAATATTTTTGTTTGGTTTGACGATCTTTTAATTTTTTGTTTACGTTTTTTTTTTGTGTTTTGGGCATTAATAATTTAGGTGCACAAGGTATATATACTACGTAATTTTCTGCTATATAATAATTCCGCCGGTGAAGGGATTTCGCTACTAATCGGGGTATTTAAATATTTTAACATTGCTATACGATAATCTGAACCGTCAAATTTAGTTTTCTTTAATATATTTTTAACTGTTTGTATGGAGCGTTCTACTTGACCATTTGATTGTGGATATCTAGGTGATGAAGTTACATGTTTGAAGTTCCAAGATTTTGCAAATTTTTTAAAAACACTAGATGAGTATTCTGGTCCGTTATCTGACATAACTACTTCTGGGATGCCTAACCTGCTAAACATATTTTTTAACTTATGTACTATAGTTTCCGATGTCATTGAATGTAATGAGCATATTTCTAAATATTTACTGTAATAATCAATTACAATCAGATACGATTTTCCTCCAAAATGAAATATATCTGTTCCAATTTTATACCAGGATCTCAGAGGTACTTCATGCGGAATAAGTGGTTCCTTTGTATTTATTTTTTTAAATGTGAGACACGCTTGACATCGTGATAAATAGTCTTGTAATTGGGTAGACATATTAGGCCAAAACATTATTTCGCGAGCCCTTAATTTACATTTTTCTAATCCTAAATGACCCGCATGAATTTTTTTAACATTTCATCCCGCAGGTTATGTGGAATTAAAATCTTATTTCCTTTCCATATCATGCCAAAATTTACTACTAATTCGTCTCTAAAATCCCAGTAAGGCCTGATGGAATCCTCTAATAAATTTCTATTACTAGGCCAACCATTCTTTATAACTTTTATTAATTTTTGTAATGTTTGATCATTCTTAGTATTTTGTTGTATTTGTAAAAAAATTGTATCCGTTAGAGGATTACTGGCTGCGATACAACACACCTGCGCTTGGGCGGCGAGGTGGTCACGTGAGTGCGATATGGAGAGGTCCGCTACCACGGGAGCGACTGCCCACGACAACGCATCAGCAATATATAAATATTTCCCTGGTTTATATACGAGTTTGAATGTGAATGGTTGCAAACGTAACAACATTCTCTGTAAGCGCGCTGGGGCACTCGACAATGGTTTATTTATTATACTGACTAATGGTTTAATCCATTTTTGCTGGCATCTACGGATATAACTACAGGTTTATCTATACAGTAATATTTGAGAACGGGGGAAGACATCGTTTAATCTTTTCAAAACATTCATCATGCCTATGATCCCAGTGCCACCCGATATCTTTCTTTAACAACTCACGTAATACATATGTTTTTTCTGAAAATTGTGGAATAAACTTACTCACATATGTAGCTAATCCCAAAAATCGTTCGACATCTTTTTGATTTTTAGGGGTAGGCATGTTTTTAACAGCCATCACGTGTGACTCATCGGCCTGTACACCATCACGAGTTATTTTATGACCTAAGTATGTAATTTCATTTAACCCTATTTTACACTTTACCTTGTTTAGTTTTATATTAATTTCTAAACATCTTTTTAACACAGCGCGTAAACGCTGGTCGTGGATCTCTTTTGTATCACCAAATACAAGGAGATCGTCGACGAATAGAATCACTCCTTCAAGGTCATCAAAATGCTCACTTAATTTTTTATGAAAAATTTCCGATGCGGAAGAGATACCAAAGGGCATACGTAAAAATTTATATCTCCCGAATGCTGTATTGAATGTACACAGATCTGTACTGCTTTCATCGAGTTTGACATGCCAGAATCCGTGTTTTGCGTCTAAAGTACTAAAGAATTTTGCACCTGATAATTTATACGTTATGTCTTCTAAAGTGGGTAACCTAAAATGTTCACGTTTAATAGCTTTATTTGACTCTTTGGGATCTAAGCAAATGCGTAAATCTCCATTAGGTTTTCTGACAACCGTCATGCTATTTACCCAGGCGGTAGGTCCTTCTACTTTGGCTATTATATTTTCATTTTCCATTTGCTGCAATTTATATTTTATTTTGTCTTTTAAAGCAACTGGTACCTTTCTAGGGGCATAGGTACGACTGGTTGTACTTTTTCATCTACTTGTATTTTATAACAACCCGGTAGGCACCCCAATCCCACAAATAAGTCAGGAAATTCATCTAATATATTTTTAGTTATTGTTACTGTTAGTATTTAACATTAAAACCCGTTTTATTGTTTGTAATTCCTCACACGCTTGTCTACCCAAAATTGGAGAAGAATTTGTATCGACAACTATAAAGGGCAATATGTACAAGTTATTTTTGTACATTATTTTCATATAACACTTTCCTATCATTGCAATATTGCTACCAGAGTATCCCTATAATTTAATAGATGTTTTCACTAATTCATGTTCTGATATTTTAATTTTTCTTAGATATATTCTAGGTAAAACATTAACATCAGCCCCGGTGTCCAATTTAAAAATAATATTTACGTTATTTATTTTTAATTCTACAGACCAACTACTATAACAATTATTATTTTGATTTGTTACCTGATCGCTGGAGGCCTCCTGTATGGCATACACCCGGCACATTCTCGAATAATGATTCATCTTACTACAGTTGTAACACCTGTGGCCAAACGCTGGGCATTCATTCCATCCTTGAATTCCACCACATTTTCCGCATCCGTTAGCATTTTTTCTGACATTCATGTGTCGCTGTCTTTGCTGCCGTCCGCTAGAGGATGATTGGTTACGAAGATCGCGACGCTGGTACGAATCCCGTTCAAATCTGCGATCCCTCCGTTCGTTAATTGTTTTACCATCAGCGCCTGCATGGTGTTTCATTCCCGACCTCCGATTTTTAATTCTGTTTAACATAAGTGCTTCATTGTGTTTCATGCCTTGTAATCCGTTATTGATTTCATGTACATTATATTCCGTATTTTCTGTCTTTATGTTGGTCGCTTGAACACGTGACAATTCAGCCAATTTGCAAACATCCACGGCTTTGGATAAAGTTAAATCTGGTTCTCTTAGTAATCTCTCCCTATATATATCCGTAATAATAAAAATAATCTCTCCCTCATCGCACCATTCCTGATCCCACATATTAATCTGTCCCGCACGAGATCACTACACAAATCTTTAAATTCACATTTTGCTGCCATTTTGTTCAATTCAAATACGTATTGCTCAATTGATTCCATTTCTTCTTGATCTCGTGTAAAAAAAATATGTCGCTCAACAGTTAAGTTTTTCCTGGGTAAAAATACCTCATCAAATTGTTTTAATACGTCATCCACCGTTTTATACTCTCCAGAAAACTGTTCATATATTTCTCGGCATTTTTCACCTATAATGTGTAACAGTATGTTAATTTGTACTCTCTTCTCTTTTTTATTCAATTCGCAGGCCTCAAAATATACCAAAAAAGCCTTTTTCCATTTCTCCCATTCTTTGCTTACGTTTCCCGATGTGACGTTTAGTAGATTATTCTCGAATCGAAACGGTTGAGGCGGTTGTAATATGGCTTCCATATTTCACAATTAATTATCTGTCCCACACAATAATCACTGTTGTTTGCGTTACTATATTGTAAGAACAACTAATATAGACACTTAACTTTATGTTATCCTACCGACTGCGCCATGTTATGTATGTTTTTATGTATATAATAATATAGGATGCAAAGAGGACGTGACTCAAAGACCAGTTGCTAGTTGGGACTGCCTTTATTGTTGATTCAGCCTACCCGACATTTACTTTATAATATATTTTATAATAATGCATAATTACCTACAGCCTAACACTCCGACTAGTTTATTTAAGGAACTATACCGGTCGAGGAGAAACGAGAGCTCCATAGCTAGCGTAGGTATTTCAATTAACAAACAGTGAAGGCCAGATAAAGAATCAATAGGATTGTTTGTTAAGTCTGCACTAATAGGCCAATGATTAGGGGTTCTGTCAACCAGGAAGGAGACCACCATAGATCATGGTTAAGACGGGACGATGCGCTAAGACCTCGGGAAGCGCAATCGCTAGGGTTAATAGAACCAGGAACATGATGCCACTCGGAAGGGAAATCGGATGAGGTGATTTGAGACACGCGGTTTGCTTCGAATGTTTGAAGCAGGTGAGGAGGAGTCTTTATCCATGCCAGCACAATTTTTCCAAAATTTCTCTACGACCTGGGATAGAGAAATGCCAGTCATAGGGGGTTCAAGGTCGGGGAAATTACCAGCAACAGGTCCAGACAACACACAACCAAAAACGGTTGAAAGGCCGATCAGACCATGAGGAAGAGAAATCGATTTTTCAGGTTGCATAAGATAAAATACATCGGCACCTAACAATACCTCAATAGGCCCTGGTTTATAAAAGGAGGGGTCCGCTACGGAAAGGTGATTAATAATAATAATAATAATAATAAAACTCTTTATTGTGCATAAAAGAAACAAATAATTACAAAAAGGAAATAAAAAAAAAAGAAGGATATGCAAACAAAAGGCGGCCTTATCGCTTAAAGCAATCTCTTACAGACAACCTGGAAGATAGAAGCATTGAGTAAGGGGAAGGTAGGTGGCGCACTATAAAAAGTTAGATAATATATGAATACTAAATATACATACATACAAATACCATTAATATACATATATATGTATATATATATATATATATATATATATATATATATATATATATATATGTTTATATATATGTATATGTGTATGTATATCTATATGTGTATGTAACTAACTTATCTAATTCTACTAATTTATACGATTATTGTTGAATTACGGCGAGTTTAATTTGGTCAAAATGATGTTTGACATGTCGCCTGTTGATGAGTAATGTTACGGTGTTATTACCATGTACTTTAATTATTTTATATGTATTATATGTATTTATATAACTTTCCATATCGGGGAAAGTGCTTTTCGTAAACGGAGATGATTTTTGAGGTAGACGTAGTCTCCGGATTTATATTGGACTGGTCGGGTACGAGTGTCGTACCAGGATTTGGAAGCTTCTTTTGATTTTTGCATGTTTTCTATAGCTTTATCGCGGGAATGTTTTAATCTATGTTGGAGAATTTTCACGTATTCAGGATATGTGACATCCGAGGACGAGTTATAGATAGAATCTGGTAGGTAAAGTTTATGTGCAAATAATAATTCAAAAGGGGTGAAGATAGTAGTACAATGGACACTAGTATTGTAGGCTAGTATAGCCGGGTAAACATAACGAGGCCAATTATCTTGGTTTTCGTTAGTGAATGATTTCAGGTATTCTTTTAATGTAGAATGACTGCGTTCTAATGCTCCTTGTGTTTGCGGATGATAAGGTGTTGACCAAAGCTGTTTTATTTTAAGGAATTCGCAAGTCTTTTTAAAAAGGTCAGAGGTAAAATTTGTGCCTTGATCTGTAAGTATTGTTTTTAGTATGCCAAATAATCAAATAAAATGAATTAAACAATCGCTGGTTTTTTCAGCTGAAACAGTGCGGATCGGATAGGCTGCAGAGAATTTTGTGAGATCGTCTTGCAATGTCATAATGTATTTAAGTTTAGCTGTGTCGGATTCAGGTAAGGGACCGACTGATTGTTATGACCACATTTTTTTGGACCACATTTTTGGGCGCAACTATTGTAGTGTTTTTGTGTGATTTGTTTTTCTTTCGTGTTTTTCTTTTTTTCTTTTCTTTTTTTTTTTTTCCTTTTATTAATTAGTTAGGTTAAGTTTGTACATATATAGTTAGGTTGACAACTTGACCACATTTTGGACCACATTTTTTGGGAGGTTTTTCGGATTGGTTTTTAAGCGCAACCCTTTCGTGTTTATTTGTTTGTTTCTTTCGTCTTTTCTTTCCTTCTTTTTTATCTTTTTCTTTTATTATGTTATATATAGTTAGGTTAGGTTAGGTTTTGTACATAGTTGGGGCGTGGGTCGGGCAACCTCCTAGTATGGGCCTGCCATTGGGAGGCTTCCCCATCCTCGTGGATACGTCCGCGGGGAACGGTGGCCGAGCAATGGTTTGGTTCTGGTACGCCCCGGGCGGGATAGTAGTCGTTCCTTCGGGATACGGCTACTATGTCGGCCGATAGTCCGGCGAGTAGGAGTAGGCACCTCTTTTGTCTTTTCTGTTTTCGTCTGTGTCTTTTCTTTCTTCGTCTCTGTTCTGTAACTCTGTTTTCTTCTCTTCTTTTTCGTCTTTGCCTACTGACAAGTCAGGTCCGGTGGGTGCTTAACTGCGCAGCCGGACAGCACTTCGGTGCAACTGGCTTCAAACCGTAAACCTGCACTGGGTGTCGGTGATCACGTCTATCGGCCCAGTGTAGGAGCGGGGGCTCTTGGCTTAACCGCCCGGGGCCGCGAGGAGTCAACCTCTATAAAAAACCTCTTGTTTAAGCTCGGTGCCCGGCGAGGGACAGGTCGTCCTGCGGAGCACGCTGCTGGAATTTTATTTCAGCTAGCGTGTTTCCCAGGGCGTCCGGGTCGGAGGAGTAACTTCGGCCGCGAGGGCACCACCTTCTGAGAACTAGCCGCACTCAGTCGTATGAGGCCGCAGATAGGTATAGGAGCTCTGCCTACTGTGCAACTTTCTCCACTACTCGTGGGAACAGAATGGAATTTTTGAAACAAAAAACAAATGACGAGGTGTCCGAGAAGGACGTAGTGACGAAGGTGTCCGAGAAGGACGTAGTGACGAAGGTGTCCGAGAAGGACGGTGTTACGCTCAAGGAGTGCGCGGTGGTATTGACCCGCAGTGACCGGACTGACTTGGAGGAGGCTGGCCCCAGCCGGGAACAAATCTCGGATCTGGAACACTGGGCCAGAATAAATATAGCGGCAGAACATCTAGGCCGAAGGACTAGATCCAGGACTGTGCGCGGGATCGACTGCGGTTCTTCGCGGTCGAGCTCGTGCACAGGCCTGTCGGATATGGACCTGGATGAGACATTGCCACCGGGGCGCAAAAGGCGTCTCTCGGAGGCCAACTCGGATACGTCGATGGCGGAAAACCGCCCTATCAAGGAGGGGAAAAAGAAAGCAGCTGGCCCCAAGTCTCGGGTGTCGGCGCAAAAAGAAAAGAACTAGAAGCCTTCCGCTACGAGTTTTTCGATGGCGGAAAGGATTCACGGAATGAGGAGGCTGCTGAGGTCATCCGCAGGGTTCGCCTTTCGGTACTCGACCACACGGCGGTCATAGAAGACGCCATCCGGAGGTCCGAAAACTTGAAGGGGACCTTTAAAGTCCATGAAGGAGGGACTAACCGGGATTAATAAAGTGGTGAGCCCCCTTGAGAGTGACTCCATCCCAAGTTCCGTCACATCCCTAATGGTCCGGAACCTCCGGCTCCAGCTAGAAGTCGGCTAACTCCGCAAGGAGGTGGCCGAGCTCCGCACCGCAAAAGTGGCCGGGCCGGCGAAGAAGACGGATGCTGCTCAGAATGAGGAGCTGGGCACCTTCAGGGCCCAAATTATGAGAGATGTTGGCGGCACTGTGCGCACAATTATGGGTAAGATGATGTCCCAATTTATGGAGGAGGTGAGGGGAAAGATCGACAAATCCCCCTCCCTAGCGATGTCCAAACCGCACCAGCGGTACCAACCTTGGCGCAGTCCCAGGCTGCAGCGGCCCCGCAGCCCGCTTTAGAAGTAGGAGGTCGGGGTTCTGACCCCCAGGCCAAAAAGGCGGGTCCAAGGCCAAGACCAAGAGGGCGAGCAAAACTGCGCCCCAGGGACAACCCCCAGCAGTGGAATCCCCGGCTATTCCAGCCACACAACCCACCGCCGGCAGCTCGTCATGGGCTAAGGTGGTGAGGGGAAGTCGGGGGAAGATGACCACGGTCCCCCAAAACCAGGAGACGGCCACCGCTACTCAGGCGGTAAAGAAGGCTAAGGAGACGCCCAAAAGAAGGTGGGTCCGCCGCTCCCCGCAAAGTTACGGCTGCCCCGCTCAGCGGCGGTGGTTATAACCATCGGAGAAGCGGCGGGAAAAGAGGGCGTCACTTACGCCAACATCTTGCGCGAGGCCAAGGACAAGATAGATCTCCGCCCCCTCGGAATATACGGCTTGCGGCTTCGATCCGCGATTACTGGGGGGCGGATTCTGGAAGTCTCCGGCACTGACAACGCCGAGAAGGCCGACGCACTGGCGTCCAAACTCCGGGCCCTAATCCCGGAGGATGTGGCCAAGGTCTCCAGGCCCTCAAAAACCGCGGAAATGCGGGTCATGGGCCTGGATGACTCACTGACGCCGGAGGATGTCGCCGCCGCCGTTGCGCGTGAGGGTGAGTGTGAGGCCGAGGTCGTAAGGGTCGGGCCAATAAGAAGGGGCAGGCCCAATTCCCTGGGGTCCTGCTGGGTCCGTGGCCCTATGGCGGCCATCAAAAAGGTAACCAAGGAGGGGCATATCCGGCTAGGATGGGTTTCCGCAAAGGTGGAGCTGCTGCGGCAAAGACCGCTGCGGTGCTACCGGTGCCTGCAGGGCGGGCACCCTAGGAGCCAATGCACGCAGGAGGAGGACCGCAG